TTTTTAGTATCAACAGTAGTAGCTGAGTGGATAACTTTTGACCTCTACCTTGGACCAAGTGAAACTCAGAGACTCGTCTGCAGCAGGTTAGGACTAGTTGGGTTCATTTGGGGGGCTTAGGTTTTATGGCTTAGTTCTCGTGGCCGCAATGTAGATTGAACTGCACAGCAATTCTTTTAATATAGGTAGCTCCAAAAAAGGACCCCTGGTTGTCGGAGACCTCAATGTGTGTGATGGTTATTTTAGCGTCCCCGTGTTACGGTTTCAGGCCTAGGGTTTGGGCTTTAAGTGATTTTGTCCCTTCTAGTTTTTCTTCTTCCCTGCATGAAGTATTTCCTATGTTCACCCAACTATGTTTGGAGGACATATTAAGAATTGGGGGGGGTGGGAGGGGGCAATGAATGTTAAGCGTCAGAGATGGCTTCCGCCTCATAAAACGACACCTACGCAGGGGTGCTCTAAAGCTTGAACCTTAAGCACTAAACCCCACGTTGCATGACGGATGCGCTTTTTTTTCAGGCTTTACACTTTCCAGTAAAGGTTCTTAGGGTACTAGGCTTCCTGACCACCACCAGATACCCTGACAAGTTTTGCTGTGAATTTCATTAACCATACACATAATACTAATCATAGTACTAAAGCTATTCATGGTAATATTGATAATGGAAATAATGTGAATAATAATGGTAGGGTGTCGCGAAGGCAGCTTCCCAAAGAGCAGGCTGCGATGCAGGGGCCCCAGCTTGAGCCAGGCCAAGGCCAGGTAAACTCCTTAAAGAGGGTTCTCATTATAGGGATTATATAGGATTTGGGGTTTACTGTAGGGTCTACATTCCTTAAGAAGAGTTAAATAAGGGACTATATTTGTGGGCTTATTACAGGGTTTATTTAAGGTGTATACTAGGACTTTATTTAAACTATGGCTCAAATAGTTGCTGAGCCGACTTAGCCCAAAAAACGTTTCACCAGTTCTTTCAACGGCATGACGCCCATCTGTCCGATATCACTGCTGTAGAAGCAAAAGCGTCTTTCAACACATATCCAGCTCTTTATCATATGCCCCCGGGAAATCGTGATGGATGCGCCGCGTGAGGCGGCCTGTAGCACCAAAGAATAGACTAAATTCCCAAGCCCTGCCGCGTTTAGAGGTCCCATGCTGGCTTGGCCGCATGGTCCACGCGTATCCGTGGAGTGGTGGAGAAGCACCGCGAGGAACATGGAGGTTTGAGGCTTGAGAGTTCAAGCGATTGGTTTCAAATTAGCTGGGGTCAAAAACAGTGTTCACTGCGGCTTTAAGGGATAGATTCCTACCTGCGCCTGGGCTACAGCAGGGTCACAGCCGAGGGCTTTGAAAGGTCACTATGCGCTCTCCAGTTTCGAATTCATGCCGGTCCCACAGCCAAACCCAGGACCCTGATCCCGTTACGCAATCACATCTCAGCCTCTGTTTGCTGCAGGACTTGGCGAAGAGCTTCTGTGTCCCCCAGCGGCAATGCAGAATGTGGTTTACCTTATAATGCATGCAGGCTGCGATGGGCATTTCTGAAAAAGGTAGCCATCTGAACTGCAAGCGCTCGTTTGCCATTTGCCATACTTGTGTTTTGGGGCAGGGATACCTGGAAAGGCAGGTTATGCATGCTTGTGTGGGCTTGGTAAAAAACTCCCTTGGTCTACATGTGCTTTCGCTGCCCACCCCTGTTCTCTATCCGGTTGAGGATGCAATCTGAAGGAGATTCAAACCCTTAACCCCTTCAAACGGAGACTGAAGGTTGACTTCGCTCTCCTTGAAGTTTGCGGTTCAGGGGTTAGGGTTTGTTAAAGTTGTTCCTACCATATTTCCTCTAATCATATATAAGTAGAATTATACTGGAATACTGGAAAAGAAAATGAACTTTATTATGCTGTTTATGGTTTAGGCTACAGGAAATTTAGACATGCGCACATCTACATCTTATGTATATGCCTAAGCATATGGCAAATACGCAGATGTACAGATGCGGCAGCGGGTGTCTAGTCAGCTGTTATCCCGCATGATGGGTTCCCAAACCACACCCCCGCCCCAACTGTTCCCCGCCAATCAGTTTTAACTAGCTTTAACTTTCCCAACATGAGGCTACTATGCCTACCCAAGTGGGAGCCCAAAAGGGCGGGGTTAATCTGGTAAGGTGGTTAGGGAACCCATGAAATCATGACACGAAGGTCTGGCGATCTGACATGATGCTCACTCCGGACCGGGCGGGAGTGTCATTTGAGACATAAGAAATATGATCACAGAGCCATCTCCTAGATTAGATGTTTCTTTTCCTGGACTAAATTCCATTTGAAAGAGCAGGAAGTACAGCAAAGCGTATGCTTGGGGACTCTGTCTGGGCTTTGCTGGATGGGTGCCTATTGAATTCAGCACGGAACAGGCTTAGGTAGAACAAGGCACCCGCCTATTCGATGCTGTTAACGTGGAGTGGGTATCTGGACGGGAGGGGTGGGAATGATCACTTCCATGCGCATGGCAACCTTTGCCAAGTAATACATCTTGCACGCGGTGCAGAAGTCGGACAGACTGCCAAGCCGTCATACTACAAATCTATCCATCCTCGGTAGGCATAGGTTCCTCGAGCGTCGCCTTGTGTGCCTATGAGGAGCAGTTCAAGCTGATTTGCAACCGTGCCGGCTGCTCAGTGGCTCTTGGAACTTCAGTCCCACCAGTCTTCAAGTGCCTGCTGGGCCTGATGTTTTTGGGAAAGAAAGGATCCTCAGTAGTTCGGAGCCTGTAATTTGACCCTACACCTGTCTGAAGTTCTGGTCAAAGAAACCAGCTCGTTGAAAGACCCGCGGCAAGCAGTTTCGTAAGGATGGCGGGCGCGTTGCCGTTAGGTCTTCTTTCCCTGTCTGCCGCATGTGCGAGACTACATGCCTTAAAACCCTTTAAGTAGCCCACTGATGCCCTGATCTGGTTTGGTTTTTCATGAGTTCGAGCAACAATCTTGCCACAGTTTTGAACAGCTTCTGAGTGTGAACGTTGGGCCCTCATCTTGCAACAACGAACATCAGGAGCCCGAAGATGCATGTGTGTGGCGTTGGCTTGCTCCTCTTCCCGGGGGTGACGGAAGGCAACCAGCCACAGCAGCATGATGATATTTTCGCACCATCCTCCGAAGCCCGCAAGACATGAGGGATTCTGAGGCCTAGTTGTTGTGCTTTGTTGCTGCTAGATAGGCTTCCTGAAGGAAGTGTTGACCTTCCAGAAGCGCAGCGATACAGCAATAATATTATGAAGAATTGTGAAGAGCGCGTGGGCGGCCAGTAAGGAACTGGAGCGAGAGCTTACCGCGGAGGCTGGGAATGTGCTGCTTGTGGGCGGTCGCGTGACCGGGGTATCAGATGGTAACCTTCAGCTATTGAATGTTCTGCTCTACTTTGGACCTGGGATTGCCTTCCATACGGCAGCAGAGATTTGGATTCCATTGCACATACATGAAGCGCCGCGCTGGCGTCAATGGTCCGATAGCAGGAGGGTAGAGCATGTAGAGCGTGCCCGTAGCAGAGAAGTACAGACAGCCATGGGTTGGAAGAACAATGAGGGCTCTTCCAAGGGCCTGTTTCCAGAGTCAGTGCGGAACACCTTGGGCCCGCTCTTGCTGATACTTATTACACCCTTCGTGGCGCTAGTCCTCTCCCGGGCCGTGACGCGCCCCGGTGGTGGCTTCCTCCAAGGCGTGTTTGATGCCTTCATGGAGGTCACCGTAAACCCGGTGGACTTTGTGTTTCGGGATGCCCTGGACCTCACAGCATGGAAAATTATCGCAGTGTACAGTGGTTTTGAGCTCCTCCTGATGCGACTAATGCCTGGCCCAGAGTTTCGGGGGCCCATTTCACCATGTGGAAACGTGCCTTTGTACAAGCTCAATGGGGTGAAGTGCTTCCTGTTCTCTGTGGCAGCATTCGGGGCGGGGGTGTACTTGAAAATCTTCCCTGGGAGCATCGTTTTCGATAACTTTGTGAAGCTCACGGCAGCCATGAACCTCTTTGCGTTCGGCTTCTGTGGGTTTTTGACAGTCAAGGGCTTCTGCTTCCCATCAAGTAGTGATTCTGGAAGCTCAGGGAATGTCGTCATGGATTTCTACTGGGGCACAGAGCTATACCCACGCATTCTCGGTTGGGACGTGAAGGTCTTCACCAATTGCCGCTTCGGAATGATGTTCTGGGGCTTGGGCAGCATATCCTTCGCATGTGCTCAATATGAGCACCATGGCGTGCTCACTTTACCGATGTTGGTATCCGTGTCCCTGCAATTCATCTACGTCTTCAAGTTGCTGGGCTGATGTTTGCTTATGAACTGCTTCGGCTGTTTGCTGTCGAGAGCTTTTGCCAGTTGAGAAGTTCAAGCGGGCATGCTGCCCGATCATTCATAGAGCTATACACACACCTTGCTTGCCAAATTATGCTTCAGGGCTTGAGGTTTCGGGGCGTGAGTCTGAGGGCCCATGACAGCAGTGTGCGAACACGGGCTCAACCTTCGGGGCTTGAGTTCGTCATTTTCTTAGGTTCTTCTGGTGGGAGTCTGGCTACTTCAAGACTATCGACATCATGCACGACCGCGCGGGCTACTACATTTGTTGGGGCTGCTTGGTGTGGCTTCCTACTCTCTACACCTCGCCGGCCAGCTTTCTGGTTCATCACCGGGAGGCGGCCCAGTTGGTGTTGACAAACCAGAATTTGACAAAGTCGTAAACAAAGGATACTGGAGTTCTTGTGAACATGGCTTACGGACCCTGCCTGAATTTTTTCAAAGTTTTATTACTTTCTGGCAACATGTGCGCTTGGAGGATTGGCAGCCCTTGTCGGCGTTGGTGGTGTTCGTGGCCGGGGTTGTCGCCATCTATCTCAACTACTGGGTGGACATCCAGCGCCAGGAGTGGGTTTCTCTTCCCTCATGCAAGCATTTGCAGTTGTGCCCGATTTCAATGTTTCATGGTACCCTCCTGGTATTGCTAGGAGTTCCGCGCCAAAGACGGCCGGATGAAGATCAATGGCAAAGAAGCGGAGTTCATCGTGGCTAGTTATGAGACCGAGGATGGGAAGAAGCACGAAAGCAAATTGCTGCTCTCGGGTTGGTGGGGCATGAGCCGCAAGATAAATTATGTCTTCGAGATTTTGTCCGCTTTCCTGTGGAGCGTGCCTTTCGCACATCCTACCTTCCTCACGCCCAACCTCTATTGGATCTTCCTTGTCATCCTTTTACTCGACCGGGCTTACAGAGATGATGTGCGATGCAGGGAGAAGTATGGCAAGGATTGGAACAGGTACTGTGAGTGTGTCCCATACCTATTGTTCCCAGGCATTTGGTGATTGGCCGATTGCATTTTTGTGTTAATGTCTGCCTGGTGAAGGCTCTCGTCCATGATCAGCTCATGGCCAAACACGCAGAGCACAGCGTAGCTGGCACCATCAGGCAAGAAAAGTCGGTGTGCAAGCTGGCTTGGCAGCTAGAACTCAGTATCCTTTGAAGATTGCTTGTCGGCCTTTTGGGCTTACTTGATTTGCTCTTTAACTGATATTTTGCGCATCCAGCATGAATTAGTTCTCAGCATTGCTGGCGCTACACTCTTTGCCACTAGCGCAGAAGCAAGAGAGTGCCACCGCAGAAAATTGCGGGTGGCATTTGCTAGAATTGCTAGAAACAATGACAGCAATGATGATGACGACGGTGATGATGACTATGTATACTGTGTACTCTGAAACCGCGGCTGGATCAATATGTATATATACATATATATGCCCGGCCAAAGACTGTAAAGATACCAAAGGTGCAGGCCTTGGGCGGCTTAGGGGCTTGTGTTTTGGGGTTTAGGGTTTACGGTGTCATTGGGAATTGGGAATGGGGAGCTCTACTTGCCTCACATGTTTTTTTCCGATGTCACACGATGCAGAGGGGGTTGAATTTGCTTTACCTCACAGAGGTCGCCGTTCCAACGGATAAGGCACTTTGTTACACCAGTTTCATCATTCTGCAACCTAGAACCACCTCAACTGTTCGCGTCTAATCGTCTCGAACTATCTGGCATCCACATGTCTTCGAAGTGTCCCTCGTCAGATGTGCATAGTGGATCACATCAGCAGTTGAACGTACACTAGGGGGCTCACGCTGAGATATTAAAGACGTGCTGAGAACAGTAGGAAGCTTTTACGTCTCGCATGGAATCTGAAGTATTGGTGCCGACGAGCTCTCACGTTTGTCAGGGCGCATTAAAGCATTCAGTGTCTTAAGCCCATTGCCACATCAATGTGTTTTTGGTATCGCCAGCATTTAAGTTGGTAGACCTGGACGTCCCTCTACAGTCGGCCAGTCTATTCAGGGGAAATCATGATGATGTTTTTAATTTTTTTTCCCGCCTGTGTGGGGCCCCAAGAGTGCTACATGAAGCCTCCTGGGCCGTGACTGGGGCAGGATGTTGAGGACCTGTTACTCTTCTCCATGCCGTCCTTCCCAGTGGATGACCAACACGAGGCAGGAATGCGGCTTTACACTGAGGGAAGGTCTCATGGAGTTGGGCTGCATGGGTTCTGTCGAAGCTCACATGTAGAGCAGTGCAGATAGAGGACATCAATTTGCTGTACAAGGATTGCAGAGCTTAATGATGTGGTCAGCATCCCCGCACTTTGCTTTGCAGTCAAGCGTCAAATCTCTACCATGCGGTTTTGGCGCTTGAGTCGTGGACTTCTTAGTTCCCAGAATTTTGGTTGTGTTGACTCTTCCTCACTGCAAGCCATGGCTCATGGCTGGAGCAGACCCTGTGCTTTGTATGATGTACCATACACATCTGCACAGACATGTACATACATACATATATATATATGCGTATCTACTTGAGATCGGCATTCCGAAAGTTTGACCTATGGGGGGCGTTTACACCGTTGGTTGAGATACACAGATCTTGCGCAGTAACGGAGGGGCCCCGCACGCCATCCAGAACCCGGTTTGAGAGTAGTTCGAACTTTTGAAGCAGCGCAGTCTGTCTGTATCTCCGTCTCTCCGTCTCTTTCTCTCTCCCCTTTTTCTCTTTCTCCTCTCTCTCTCTCTCTCTCTCTCTTCCTCCTCTCTCTCGCCTCCTCTCTCCATCTCTCTCTCTCTCCTTTCTCCCGCCTTCCTTTTTTCTCCCTCTCCTTTCTCTCTCTCTCTCTCTCCCTCTCTCGCTTCTCTCTATCGCTCGCTCTCTTTCTTTCAGTCTCGCTCGCTCGCTCTCCCTCTCTTTCTGTATGGCTCGCTCACTTGCTCGCTCGCTCGCTCTCTCTCTCCCTCTCTCCCTTCCCCTCTCTCCGTCTCTCTCTCTCTCTTTTTTCCCTCTTTCCCTTTCTCTCTCTCTCTCTCTCCCTCTCTCTCTTCTGCTAGCTTTCTAGCCACCAGATATAAGCAGATGCATGCCCTCACATGTTCGTACATAGACTGTCATATAGACATACACACATGTTTCATGTTTCTATATGTACAGAGAGGTCCAGAACGATAGACATGTCTCTCCAGTACCGCATGCGTACAAAAATGAGGTCAATGGAACGAGGTTCAGTGTCACTGCAAATGGGGTTCTGCAGAGCGTAATGATTAAAAGGCGGGATTTCTCTGGGGTCCCCATGACAAGGATCACAGTATTTTGGGTGTCTATATTGAGGACCCCTTATTTCGGCAAGCTACAAAATTTCAGAGTTTGAGAAGCCTCCTAAGCTCTCTTGCCCCATGGAAAAAAGGGTTATCTAAAAGTCCCATAGTACGCGTTTTGTGGACAAAAGCCGCTAGCCAGACTGCCAGGTCATCGACGGCAGCCTTCTTTTGCAACAATTCGGCGGTTGAGTGTTGTGATGCGGGCATTTCTCGAAATACAGTAGCTCCCCTGCACCCAAAAAAATGAGCAGCGTTGCCGCAAGGACTTCAGCAAAAGGCCCCATTTTTTGAGAAACCCGGACGCGAAGACTCCTAGCGCCACATGAACAGCATGGGCCCTGGAGTGCTACCCCAGATTATGGGCTGGTATGGGTCCAGAAGATTCCAAAATGATCCATACGCATGATTTGATTGTTCCAGCTCTTTCTTCAGACCTCGCGATGCTTCAGTGAGACGAAGTCATGGCTCTCTGTCATGACGGAAGCACTACCCTTGAGGACTTCGAATCGCCCAACCACCGTTTCACACACAGCCGGTGTAAACTCTGACGCCGAGAGGGGAGGCTATGCGCACGTTCAGAAGCGCAGGCGAGTATTAGCTACCGTGACAGGAAGAACAATAATCATTCAGGTGTTTAACCAACTTCTGGTTGCCTTTTGCACGCCCAAAGATCCTGTGCGGATTAGATCATTTGGGTTGCTATTTTCATGTGTAGGAGGAGAGGAGGCCAGGAGGACTTCACATGTTTTATTTGTTGCTGAATTTGTTGCTGTCAACTGGTGGGGCATCGTGGGTCGACTTTGGCGTAGAGGGTACCACAAGATTTTGTGTTGTGTGATGGTGTTTTTGGCATTCCTTCATAGTAGTGACTATGCTTCGGCATGAATTCATTCAATGTTTTCCCGGGCTTACATGTCCATTTTGGGCTAGTCCTTACACTATGGGATCCCAAGGCAATTAGTTTGGGTTTAGGATTTCGGGCTTTGGGGCTTAGGGTTTTGGGTCTAGGGTTTAGGATTTAAGGGTTGAGAGTTTAGGGTTGTTTGTGGACATGTTGAGCAACTACGAGTTCTTGCCATTCTGATCAGCCTTCTCTCGCGCACCGTCACGCATCAGGCTCTGTGGCTCTAAACAATTGCACACCCTGTGGTGGTTTAGGGCTTGGGTTTATATTGGGGTTATATTGGGATACTGGAAAAGAAAATGGAGACTACGACATATGGGTTTATATAGGGTTAGGATTTAGAGTTTAGAGGATGGCGCGTGATCTGAACCCGTGAGTTAAAGTTGACTGCTATGTTTCATTTCAAAATCACAAGCCGAAGCAAGGCCCCTCATGTGTGGGCCTCCTATGTCGCCTAATCGATTCTCAAGCCCTTCAAAAGCAGCCCGAGAACCCATACACTCCTACAAGCCACTAGTTGCGATGATCACAAACCCTAAACCCCCAACCCCTAAACGCCCAAAAAACCTTTCAGGGCCCTTGGTCTCCATCCTGGCCTTTAGGGTTGCGCTCTCCTGATTGAAAATGGGGGTGGCTACAGCGGCTGCTTATCCCTAACTCCATGTGAGATCTAGTCCAAACTCCTTCAAGGGGATTTTATAAGGGAGTATCATGGGGATCATTTAGGGCGATACTAGGACTTCAGACTATAGCTCATGTAGGTACTTTATAGACTTAAGGGCCCAATGTATGTATGATTTATAGGCATAGGGCCCCATGGTATCCGTAAACCTAAATCTTACCATATCTGTTGCCCCAGCCCGAAACAAAAATCTCAAATCAACTGAAGCAAGTGCTACTTGTAACTCCAGTCTCGTAGTAATTACCAGTCGGTCTGACCTATAGAACTGTATGCCCTAAACCCTACCCTTATGTACTAGGAGTGACAGCTACAGACCACAACCGGCTCTGAAACCAATCGCTGCAGGGCCGACAGGGAAGCGGCCATCCGTCTATGGCTGAGTTTTATAATCATACTGTATTCTATTATACTATACCATATTAGATTATATTATGCTATGATATACTATAATTTTTGGGACGTCAATGCTGATTTGGGGTTGAGCTGGCATTGGAGCTTGCATTGTGTGGGAGTTTCCAAAATAATAAGGACTATAGTACACGGGTGTCTATTGGGCCTCCCATGGATGGAAACTACCGTGTATGTTCTTGAGCACGTGCTGTTACTACAAGTGTCTGTATTATTTAATGAGGCTTCTGTGCCACTATCAGAACCCTATTATCGTCCTTGTGCGCACTTGCATGTTTGATTGGGCCCGCCCACTACTAGCGGTATATTAGGAATATGGAAGGGCCTTAATATAGTTACCATTACCTCTTGTGGTCACTATTAGTGGGTGGGGGCCCAACCTAACTTATGTCTTTGGCTATTCTTGCCTTGTTGCAGTGAGTACCCGTGGCTTCTCGCACCATTGGTTCTTGGGGTCGTCCTGGGCTGGGAGATTTTTTTTTTGGGAGAGGGGGTTAGGGAAAATAGGGGTTATATGAGGGTTAGATAGGGATAATGGAAAAGAAAATGGAAGCTACTAAAATGGAGTTTAGTGTTTAAGGGTTTTAGAGTTTTGGGTTGAGACTGCGCTCTACGGCTTTAGTCTGTTGCAGGTAAGCTGAAAGGTGCTAGCATTCCAGGCTCAATTTACGGGCGAGGGGCCCTCGAGTAAGTTAGGT